TGTATAGACTTTATTATCAAAAATAAAAATTATTTTTAAGAACGTCTGTTTTTTTGGGTTGGCAAGGGGATCAGCGGGGAAAGATTTTTTTTTTATATAACTGGCACTGTATATATTTAATCTTATTTTTAACTATTATAATATTACTTTTTCAAATTTTAAGTAGGTATTTATAGTTGCTTGGCATTGTTTAATCAGTATACTAGTTTTAAAATTTTTTTTCCTGATAAAAATTAAATAATTACTGTAAGCAAATTAATATTTAACTTACTGCAAATTGCATATAAGAAATATTGTTTCTTTCAAAATGTATATTCTATTATATATAATTAAATAAAAATCTTATTACTTACAATTTATATATAAATTAAAAAATAATATTTTAAAATATAAAATATATAAAATATCAAGTTTTTTTTAGATAGTTTATTAATAAATTATCTTATAATATTTATATTATATTATAAATTTTAAAATATAATATTTTTAGTTATTTATAAATGTAAAAAAAAAAATTTCAAAAAATTATACTCATATTGTTTTGTAAATAAAATTATCACGGTATATAAGTAACATTTTAAAAATGCTAGGAACAGTGAGTATAAAAATACTCTATATTTGACATACTAAGAGAATAAAAAGAGAAACTGTTCAAAAAGAAAGGCGTTTTATGGCAATAAACAAATAAAACTTATTTAGAGTTTGCTTTAAATATGGATTTGTGAGTCTATCGAGTTCTAGTTCCACATGAATAACTCCATTTTGCCAAGAAATAAGTTATCAATCGTTGCTTAATATGGACTAATGAAATACATTATATCATTGTTTTGAATCACAAAAACGCGTAATTGGTAATATTGTATAGTGAATATGAAAAGGGATCTTAAAGTTCACAACACATTGTATTCATACCATTTTTGTAAAAGAGAATTACTGTACAATGTGTATTTATAAGCCAATGGAAACCCAGACGAATCTCAAATGATTTTAGTTTGAGCATACTTAGAACTACAGTTATGACAACCGACTCCGGTTTACAAGCTGACATTGATGGTGGAGTAAACATGATGACAGATGATGGTGGTCCTAAGATTTTTGAAAATATTTGTGGCCCTATGATGATGGTTAGTAATAAACATGACGAATGGGTGGATAATACATCAAAAGATTATATAGATTCCAAAATTGATGTGATGGGGTCTTCTCCGGGAGAAAGATACGTAGCCACTTGGAGTAGAGAAGATGGAGT